ACGCGAATTCATCGGTACTCGAACGTCTTACTAGGCCATAAGGGCTACGCGGTGATTTGTTAACGTGTTTGAAACTTGCCGATGTAACGCATCATGATTTGCGCTATTCTCCTTTGTGGAAGCTTTGAAACTATTTTGCTTAAAGTGGGATCATTTTTAGTATTAATTTATCATCTTATTTTAGCTCACTTAAGCAAATATTTGAAGCCCAAACTTGGCCATTGTCGGTACTTGGTTTCAGTCAGTTGAGGTATCCGACCTTCAAACCTACTCAGAAGAATGATGATCCGTATTGCTGCTAAATGCGTTAGTAGTTGCATGATAGTTTGCTTACCTCATCGCGTAATAGCCTCGAACCACGTGAACAACCGTTTAAGCGTCGTGGCCGTAACTCACTTCGCTCAGAACTAGTCTGAGCACGGCGCCAATTTGAAAAACATAAGGGAGGGGGACTGATTCTGCAAGTCCAGCTATTGAAACCTTTCCGCATTACTGCTAACAAGAATAAATCGTTATTTATGCCCCACCTCCCCCCATAATCCGCTAACGCCTTGACCACGGACACCTCTTTTGCTTAGATTTTATTGTAACCGAAGGCAAGTAAAACCAATCATTCATGTGCCAGATGCATCAGAGCCGCAGGCACTAAACACGTACACCATTCGATGTGTTGATTGTTGTTACTCACGAACCCACTCTAACTAAGCAGAGTTCAGGACCGGGGTCTAAATTTTCAAACTACACCAACAATTTGTGTCCCATCGGCCGCCCATTTCGACAAATAATCGTCTCTAGCTATCGTGCTGAGACGAGGTGCTGCTCATACCGGAGATGGTGAATCGGATTAATGAAAGGCGGCAGTGAAACGGAATTAGCGTGTCCCGTCTCAGGCAGATATGTCGGAGAGTGCATCAATGGGCAAGCAATACTCAACAGACGCGCACTGCTACCACGATTAATGCAAGATTGAATCGAGGTCGCCACTTCAACACTTAGCGGAGTGTTGAACGGCCCAGTTAAAAATTGTTTCGGACCAGGCTATAAGAACCGTGAGGCATGCTATCCCGCATCGCCTAAACCAGGCCTCAGGACGCCAATCGTGCTACGTATATGACTAGTGAAGAGAGCTATTGTTCAATGAAATAAAAGGGCGCCCCACGCCGAGCAGACTCGGGATTCAGACGACTAAACCCCGGGGTCGCACTCTTCCTCACCATACTCGTGTATTTTAATGCTTTGATCGAATGAAATCATTCCTGTAAAAAAGCAGCTCGGTTAGTATAAAATACTGTTTTTTATTTTCGTACTGTTTACACGGATAGCAGTAGTAGTAATAATGGTAGTAATGTTCAAGTACACACTGGGTGGTGGTGAGTGAGGAGGGAGTGAAATGCAGCCACACGGTTGCTCGTTTAATTAGACCTACTGGTCTTCCTCTTGATTACAATTCCAAGAAAAAAAGTAAAACAACAGATTGTCGCTGTCGTTAGAGGGAGGGAAAGGGGAATGGGACAGACAAGGACAAGCAAGAACCTCGAATTCTACACTAGCGGTGTTAGAAAAAAGCTTGGTGAGTGAAGTGGACGGGTCGGAGCGGGCATCGTGTGAATTTAAATGCACAAGTACGGGAGGTATAAAAGTGGCGTCTGAGAGAGCGCGGGGATGCGGTTTAAGCGGGAAAACATGTACAAAAGGTTGCGTTGGATGCGAGCGATTCCAACAGGACTATGAAGGGAAGAGGGTCGTGGTCATGTTGCCTCATCGGGATTGCCATCTATTGATCAATCGAAGCATCGCCATTATGAGATCGGATTGAAGGGGTATTCTTGCTGCAAAGAAAAAGTAAGCTCATGATGGCGAAAATCTGGCTAAATAACACGCACATCCAACACTTCTGGAATAGAAACAAGAGCATGAGGAGCGAATACTCATAAATACGGGGAAAGAGCACTTGACGAGAACCCGAGAACGATCGCTTCAGTCATCACTTGGAACTACGGCATTTTTACTGGTTCAATTAAGTGTAGCGAAATCCGATGACTGCATCATAACCGATGCAATAGAATCGCACGTGGCTGCAGGTGTATGAAGTGTTTAAGTGTGGGACATAACACAGCCACAAAATATGCAACTAAAAGTAACTGCCATGTGTACATGGAAAACTGTTTTTTTTACGAAAACGCGTGAAGTGGCATATTGTGAGCGTTCATTCTGGTCGTTCGCGCTCATTAAAAAATACGTGTATGCGAACGGACACACAAGCCCAAGTGAGTTACTTTGTCCACACGCGCGCACATACACGAGGGTGTGTAGTATTTTAAGGCCATTGGCATCCATGCGCCCCTCTCCAGTGGTGCGGACGGGCAGTGGTGTGCGCGCGAACACACGCCTCTTTTTTTCTAGCTCTCTCCTCGAGTCCTCCTCCTCCTCCACCGCCTCCGTGTCTTCCAAACACACTGCCTACTACCACACATTATACGACAACGACGACCACCACCACCACCGCCTCCAGCCCCACACCACCACACACCAGGCTAAATCGCCCGCCGCGTGTTTGTCTGTCCGCGCTAAGCGCACGGCGTGCACGCGCGCACCCAAGCCAGCTGACACGATCGATTGACACGCGCGCGCGCGCGCGCACGCAGGCAGCACGACGCCTGGGGTACGGCTGCAGGCGTGCGCGCGTGGGTGCAGGCGTTTTGTTTTTTGCTGCTGCTGCTGCTGCTGCTACGCGGTGCTGCCACACGAGGACGAGGTACGTGGAGGTGGAGATGCGCGCTCCGTGCGTTTTGACAGAATTAAGCAGCAATAATGCGTGCGAGGTAGCCCCGAGGCACAGATTAAATGTGGCACGACGACGACGACGACAGGTGTACACATGCAGATCTCGACTGAGATTACACTGTACTTTCGACATGACATGCTAGTTTCAAACTTGTTAGTATGACCGGGATCTCATGTCAAACAAGACGGCAAATGATAGTGACAAAGCCTCGGAGGAAGATCCATGAAGAGCCTGTTACACACATATCGGGCGAAGGTAAACATTGAAGCAAACCACGCAGGGCGGTATTAGTAAATACGAGCAGCATGCTCCAGAGCAGGTCAGAACTCCGGCCAGAGCAAACAGAAACATATTGCATACCCTACTAATTTAAACGGCCAACTAAAAACAATTTATCAACAAACAAATGTATTTAAAAAGAAAGGTGTGTCGGCAGAGAAACAAAAAATTTCAATAGGTGTATTTGGATTGCACCCCTTCCCTTTAAGACATTCAACCAGTGATTCAGTGAGGTTCAAAACGGCGATTTTAATCTAAACGATAAATTTAGTCCTAGATTACCTCCACACACTGATAATAACAAGGAAACCTAAGTGTAGACACCTATGTCCCTTTTGTGGCTGTCACAACATCGAACAATTTGACGAGGCAAAACTATGGTGAGTGCACCGGATGTACGACCACGAGGAGGACTAAAATTCATGAATAATTTCTTCACCTACACAATAATGGAATAGGAATATTCTGATAATGGTTGTTGTAGCCAAGGAAAATGCCTACAAAAGACTCTAAAGGTAATCGTGTTTCCGAGTAATCAGATGATTTGAGAAAGCAGAGAAGGCGCTGAAGTTTTATAAAAAGACAGTTTCTAGGAGTTTGGCAATTAAAGTAGACTCATATAGGAAGAAATAGAAAATTCCTAGATCGTGCGACATAAAGTAATAAAAATGCAAACACTTAGGAAATAATGATGGTCAAATACTGTCAGTAAGCTGCGCTTATTTAAATGAGACTAGCACTGGAGGGACTCCGAGGTTAGTAAAAAAGATCAGGGGTGAAGCTATACACGCGTGGTCAGCAGACTTCCAACATGAAGTGCTGTCAGTTGGGGAGTCCACGTGACGTGTATTTCACGGGTCGCTAATACGACCAGGAACATGCCAAAGCAAACACAACCGCCCATGCCATAGGAATCCCACAGGCAGAGCTAGTGCGGTTCATACAGAGGCAAGTTGAGACGTAAAACAACCTCCGTTGAGAAGTGACAGAAGTATATCAATAGCGAACCAAAAGTTGTTTGATTTTAAACTAGCCCTACCCCATCAGGACCCTAAATTACCCCGAAGAAAATGAGACATTAAAATTGAGGTTTGAAAACTTCATCGAAATTGTGGTGCCTTGGAGGATTGGGTAACGCCTCTGCTCATATCCAAAACAAATCCAAAAAAACACCAGAACCAAAAACAGCACAAACCAAGATTCGTACTGTACAAAACATATGAGTAGTGATGCATGCAATGAAATGCCCAGTAGGAGCCGGGAGAGATGGCACTGGCTGATCCAAAAGAAATCGACCAAGGATAGCGTTGAACTGAGTTTGCGAGTGAATTTGTATGCCGCGCTTCCTCGTGATGGTTAGCGCTACGGACAAATCGCAGTACCAAGTTTGCTTCCGCCTGCTTCGAAGATTCACAGGATACCCAAGTGAGGGGACACGATCGGACATGCGCACTCAACACATCACAATCGATGACTTGGAGTGTTGACTTGTGCACGTGTTCCAAGCACGCATTACTTTGCCTTTAGGTAAAGACGCAAGACACACGAGGTAGGTGCTGTGTTTTCTCCGAAGAGTGTGGATCAACGTGGGAGAAGGGGAACGCGACGTCTCCAAGAGATTGCATAACGGTAGGAGGTTGCAGTTTCGCGAAATGCCTAACGCACACACTTGCGCAGTCCTATCTGACGGCGGAACCACACCGTCCAGCAACACCAAGCGCTATTAAGTACGAAATGTCCAACCAGGGCTTCCACAATTGCCTCTCACATTTAATTTCCTGAAAACTGCAACCTCCACACTTCCGTTGCCGGCATAACACATACCGACCTCTAGCGGCATACACTGGACAGGTCTCAGTTGACAAAATTCTTGGTTCGGACCGCGTAAAAAGTGGCGCATTGACTCACTGAGGTCGTCTCGACAGGTGGGAACTAACTTGAGCGCATTGAAAAAATGCCACGACGGCACTAAACAAGAGTCGGCTGCGACCGGTTTAACGCACAGGCATTATGGGAGTGACTAGGACTTTTCACACTCGCAAACAACTGGGTCTGTCAACAGAGTAGAAATTTTGTGTGTATACGTTAAGATAAACAACAGCTAATACCAATCTGGATACTCAACTCGGTTTTAACTAATAAAATAAGCAGCAACGTGGTTAGCATAGGTTTTTTTACTTCCGGAAGAAGTAAAAGGAGTAGTGAGGAAAAATTAAAATTTACAACGCAAGGCGAATTTCTGCGCAAGTTTTGTTTACTCATTGGTTATGCCCATAAAATAAAAGTGTCACAAATTTGCTATCCATAAAAATTGGAAAAACATAAGCGCGTTGATCAAAACAAGGGATTCTCCGTTTGAGGAAAACCAAGTTATGGTATACAAACCAGCAAGCATTTTTTGTGGACATGATGGTCCAACTGGAAGTTAACTATTGTGACCAGAACAGCTGGCGGTAAAGCAAGATTTCTACCAGGCAGTGATTGCTCAACACCACGATGTCAGCTTATCGAATGCGATTTATCTTGTGCGGCCACCTTAGCCACTATGCCGCTGTGTGTGACGCAGATTCGCAGAAGTGGCTGGGTCGATTGAGCGGTAGAAACGCATGAGGGGTTGACAGAGCAAGTACAGTGCAAGAATTGACAGAAAATACATGAACACTGACAACTCCTAAGAGCATACAATTGAGTGCTCTTGAGCATTACAAAAGGTCACGCTTAGATGGAGGGCTCAACGGATTGGCAGCGCTAATTCGGGAATAGGGGCGTGGAGTAGTGTGCTCCTATCTCTGCCGTTTGAGCGACAAGCATTTCAATCAGTAGAGGGGAATTCGATTGCTTAAATTGATTTTAGCGTTGATGTAATGCCTACCGAAAACGGTCCAGACTCATGACTAGCCTGGGCCTGGACCGTTTGAATCGCCGCTTTACGGGCCGTTGGTGCCACGAGCGTCACACTGCCGTAGGTGTAGCAGTCCATGGGCAAAATTAATCATTACTCCCTCCTCCTCTTTGTCACACACCAACGGCCAAGCACCCAAACTCGCCTACCCACGTGCGCGCGCTTCCCACAAGTGTACGAGGTGGCGATGAGTCACCAATTCTCCCATCACCGGGCTTATGCTGTCGCCCCACACGCGCTGTGCGAGCATGGGTACGCGACTGACATTTGAAAGCAGTCAAAAGACGGGTCTCATGCGCCGCAAAACCAGGTTTCTCTCCAGATTTCTCAACATTTTGAAAGCCCAGCTGCGGACTAACAGGAAGCACACTGCAGGCGTCGACGAATGACCTCGAAAAACACTAACTTGAAATCCACTGCGGATATGATTCGGTGTGGACGGAAATCTGCCACGAACACCAAACAATAGAGTCAATAGGGAATGTTTGAGCAAACATTTTGGAGTATCTGAATGATAGAAAAGTTGAATAAAAATGCATAACTTGGGGTTACTTTAGTAACATAGCGGCATAATTGATTTGTACACATCAAATAGTAATGAGAAACGGACCCCATCTCTTTGATGTGGCCAACATAACTCTCTTACTCTAACACATCCGTAAATATGACATTGATTTCACACAACATAAGGATCTTGATATAGGTCATGACTATCTATGCCAGAGACTACAAAGACTGAGTTACACTTTTTAAACGACACAATATATATATTTGCTTACACAAGGGTCACAGAGATTACGGTACATGATTAAAAGCTTTAATATTTTAACTGATTGCTGTACCTCTCGTGGAATCTCAAACTCCAGTCTCAACGCATACCACATCTACGCGGCAGTGAGAGGCCTCGCATTGAAGTGGGGGCCCAATCATGAATAAGGGAAAGGCGCACGGGTCGGATTACTTCTCCAAGGAAAACAGTGCATTAGTACTGCTGTGCCATTTGTACTGCGACCAGAATACTGATTTGTCGAGGGAGAAAAAAAGTTATGTTAATGCTGAAATCAGGTAAAATTGTGTTTAGGAAATGGCGAGCGGAAATCGGGCGATTAGGTCATGGCGGATTTGACGTCACGGCATAGCTCAAATGGACAGCATTCTACCAATTCAACAATTCAATAGCTGAGAATACTTCAAGTTACTGTAACATTAGGTATGGTCTTACGTATCTAGAAAGGCGCAAATGTTTTGCAATGTTACAACATACAAGCGTCAAGTTAATACAGGAGTACAATTAATCGCCAAATGATAACCTAAGACAACGTGAAAATAAACCGCATGCATTACGATAGGAAGTGAATTAACAACAAAGAAAAACGAAAGTAACTTAAATGATTAAAAGTTATGGGGTAAGTAGATAGGTGCAGTAAGTTGAGTAGTTTTCCTGTACACAAAATCTCCCCAACACAGAGCATGAATATCACATAAAATGACTTTAATGGGCTGGACATTTAACTTCTTAAGTTGTTCACTAATAATTGGTCAGATGAGAGGTTTCTGGCTACTGACGACCACGTAATTTACCAAGATAAGTTGCAAATGTTTGATAGAAATCGCAAATTTGAGGAAACGGCCTCAACTTATTCCACTAAGATCATCTGTAATGTTCTTCTCTGACTTAAGATTTTCCATTTTTGAAGTTGATTCCGACAGCCTTCATTTAAACGGTGACAATTTTCACTATGAGAGAAGGGGGGAGGGTGCATGGATTTTACTGAGAATAAGAACGCAAATTACCGGAAATTGGACAGGCCCACCAGCGCAAAGTCCACCGGTCGAGGACATGTATTGAGGGGGTGGGGGTGCCTGCCCCGCTGCAGCTACACTGTGGGGCTGCTGTTGCGGCTGCATCATTGGTGGTCCCGAAGTCGACGGTGGAGGCTGTTGAGATCCGCCATTGCCTGGAGGCTGTCCAGAAGACATCAGTTCCGGTGGAATCTGAGGCTGTGGTCCTCCTACGAATCCCCCGCTCCCAGGGCCACCTCCTCCTCCCCCGTACTCCGAAGGCATCATCATTGATTGCTGACCCGGTCCGTTAGGAGGGGGTCCCCCCAGCATATCCACAACATGCATTGGGGACATTTTCACATCGGGGCCAGGATATGGAAGGCCTGGGCCAGCAGGGTTAGGTGGAAGGCCATACTCTGGTGGTGGCGGTGGCATCATTGGACCACTGTTGCGCCCACTCCCTCCGTTCATAATGACTGTGCCGCCTCCATCAAATTCGTTCCGACTAGTAAAAATTGGTTGCTGTTGTTGTTGTTGAGGTTGGTCATTTTGGAGGGCAGATGAAGACGTAGGAGGTGTCTGCTGCTGCGGAGCATAATGCGGTGGAGGCTGTTGCGACTCAGGATTGGGGTTGTTTCCGTTATTCGGACTGGCTACATGGGGAGGGCCTCCGCTCGGTGTGCCAGGGTGCCCAGGGCTAGGAGCTATTCCCCCGCCAGGTGTCTGGGGTGGGATAGGAGGGCCGACACTGCTACAGGGGGGCTGCTGTTGTTGAGAGAGTGGAGGAGGCCCCTGCTGTGGCTGAGGCGCTCCAGGACCTAGCCAACGAGCTCTTGGTGGCATGTGAGGGTGTCCAGGTGGACCCGGCATCATACCTCCAACAGGTGGTCCATACGGCGACTGGTGGAACCGCATTGAGGGGTGCATTGGAGGACCAGGAGGCTGACCGCCCGGCAGCATAGGCGGAAGAGTAGGACGCTGGCGCATTGCGCCACCACCTATAGAATCAGGGGGACCGCCGCCCAGAGAAGGGGGCATGCTTGTCACTGGCCCCTGGAGGCCAGGATGTGGGCCGGGCTGAGAAACACGATGAAGGAAAGGCGGTGCGTTCGGTATCGGACGTCCTGGCATGCAATGTTCCTGCAGTACAAACACATTTTAACACTTCAAAAATGGATAAAAGAAAGAGAATAAGGGCAATTCCTGGAAAAGCTTTAAGAAAATGGGATGCCACTAACTAAATACCAAATAAAAAATTATTAGGGAAAATGAGATTATGGTTATACCGAGGCATACAAATTCGCAAGAAGTTTGAAAACAGGTGAGTTGGAGAAGCTGATGATAGCTTAAGACAATTGAGACAAATAATCTAAATTTACGAATTTTAGAAGACAACACAGAACAGCCCTTAATAGATAAGGCTACTGCATCGTCAATTTTAACCACACCCACAGTGCAAATAAAAGTGGCGACTTACGTGAGGGAGCCCGTTGGGATATCCGGAGTTCACAAAGCCCTTAAAAACATAATAGTAAAAATGATATCATACATAGTCGTGAAATGCCTTGGCTTCATTTGTGTGTTCATGTGTGTCTCTTCTTTCAGGGGCAGCACTATACAAATCCCAAAAAACACTACAAGAATCGTTTCAAAGAAGCGACATACCTCCACCAAGAGTGCAAAAAACCCGGTGGTTCACCCACACTTATTGATTTATCCCAACGAATCTAACATTGGTATTAAACCCAAAAAGAACACATACTTCTTGAAGGAACGAACTTGCCGTTTTCTGGGCTCCAATGTGCACCAAGTACTCGTGAACGTACATGGCAAGCCTAAGAAATATTCATACCACGTAGAACGTACTTCTCCTTAGACTGAGCGTCAGAGGGAACAACCATCATCTTGTTTTTTCCGTACATTGCACTTAAGAAACAATCATAACTGTAACAAGAAAGAGTCGTAAACACCGGCTAGAGCACAAGTATTTATTCATCCGTAATAGACTAGTAAAACAAGAAACAATGTTTTGAACGCAACAAAAATATTGAATAATGCTTGTTTTCCAAACTAATAGTGCGCTTTAAATTTAAAATATCATTTAAAGCCACTATTCTGTATGTCTAAATTCATTTCATTGATGGTTCATAATATTCTGAAAAAAGACGTGAATTTCAAATACTGCTGCATCATTATAAATATCTGAAGACGAAAAGCCTATTTATTGTGATACGTGATATAAGTCTTGTTGTACGTAACACACGCTTAATTGACGAACTCTGAAATATTGCTTTCTACATCATTCTCAATAAAAAATTTTACATTTCCCGACAATGAAGCATTACAAAACTCCATGCAGGAGTCGCAGTGCTTACCTTGGTGCCGAAACTATAGCTTGAACCATCATATCTCCATCGCATTCACTTTTTTTTTTAAAAATGCTAAATTGGAATCATGATTTTTAGCAAAACAGGTTTTCCATTGGTTTACTGAAGTAGAGTAAACTTGGTTGTCTTTCATTATATCGCCTTTATTACAAAAGATTTGGTCGAAATTTTGAGTAACAAAAATCATAACGTCGAAATGTCCACCTAGCCAACGATTCGAATGATCAAAATTTATATTAAAAAAATCATCTCTGAAATAAAATCCAAGGTTTTGGTGAACGGAGCAAACTCATTTATATGCCATTTTGCAAAGTGAAATTTATAGGATTCTGTATTAGTCAAAGCAGAACTGGTTATGTGTTGTTTAACAAAATGCGTACAAATATTGTGTCTGAGATAGTACGTTGAATACATGTGCCGTATTTGACTTATGAAACCCATTTCACATAATGTGCCACTACTGCTTCAGCAGCAGTATTAATTTATAAATAAAAATTTCATTTTAAGTTAAAATTGCAATACTGGACATTTGGAGACTCCACATTGTGCAACTAGGATGGTTCTACTTTTACTTGTGAATAAGTATGTTACGATGTAGAGTCAGAAAAATAATATTTGGAATATAGAAACTTCAATAAGCATTATGCCATATTTAACGCACACGACAATAATGAACTAGACTAAAATAATTAAGAACAGACGTAAAATAAGATTGGGTATAACCTGGCGAAACCAGCGAATGGCAAGTATAAAACAATCCAAGGTGATGCAAAATTAATCCCACCTATTGATGCAGTTACATCCTGCTTTTGTATGCAGAACAAACTTCAGCGCCATTTATCAAATAAATTCTTAAAGTGAAAGAGCTTGGTTCCATAGAAAATTGTAAAAAACTGTGGAAAAAGAAAATGCAAAAAGTGGGAACAAATCCTTAAACTTGACGCAGATTTTTAAAAGAATTACTTGATGGTTCGCTACTAAAGTCTACATGTATGCATGAATGCGAAACCATTCTTACCCGGGTAAGTTTTGCCTTCGTAATATATTCACAACGAAATCTGTAGGTTATAGTAAGGTGATAATCAATTCAATTGCAGATCAATAAAGTAGGTCCATGAAAGAGAAGTTATTTCCTCCAACATGACTGTTAAGTTTTACTTTGCAGTCCACTATGTGTGAAAGGTTATTATACAAGAAGACTTTTAACTTTCTTTAAGAAGAATCGCTGTTTGAGGCTACTCACATTGTTTAGACACCCAATATTCTTGAAGGTTCGCGAGTTATAGCTGCAGAGGATTGTAAATTTTCCTAATAAACCCTTCAAAGGTGATTGCTGTACCAAATATAAGTCTCAAAGAATCACATGGCTGAATATATCTGCTTATATAAAATTAATTAACTACACAACTATTTAAATGTTAACAATCACCGGAACTCGACTGTTGGGGATTTTTAATGCATAAAGTAGGCTTGGGAGAAGCCGATTTACAACCTAGAGATGCGAAGAGTCGGTTGAGAGGAATGGCGTCTGTAAAAGTTTGGAGAGCCAAATGACATTTAAAACAAATTTATAAAGGCGAAATTCACTGGCCTGGAGAAACCCCAAGAGGGCTTGTACTTTATTTACATGGCCGTTAAGGCTCTTAAGGCAATGGCAGTACTCAACTCTGATAAAAGTATGATGATGCACAATGGTTGCCATTAAAGAGCAGCAGCAGAAGGCATTTATATAAAAGATAACAGAAAATTTATTTTCCAAAACGGCATCAACTCGAAGTTATTGGGGCTGATATTAAATCTTAAAGTTGTCCGCGGTTGCTATCATATTTTCAGAATAGGAAATGAATTGAGATCCCAAGGTTTAGTAAAACCTGTGCTTACTAAGATTTAAGATTTGCAAGCTACTCCTTAAAAGACGAAAGATTGTGGGGGGCTGTAAGAATAACTAGATATTTGAAGAAATCTTGAGAAGAAATTAAAGCGAATGCTGGCATATTTACTACATTAGTGATTCCTACCCAGCCAAGCCTAAGAGAATTATCGAAAAGCTGGTACTACTGAAGTAACGGGTGGAAGTTACAAAGGAAATGTTTGGAAAAATAAAATGCATGAGTATTCGAATGACGTATTACTTTTAACGCTCAAAATTTGATCTTCCTGTAAAATCAGATCTGTTCCACGTTTTTTGAAAACCAATACTATCACACACGCCATACCCCACGACATTGAGCTTTGTTCATGCATGGTAACTTCTCCCTTAATATTTACCTTTTTAGACCTGCCCAACAATTAGTGTATGGATTATCACCTGTCTCCCGAACTCTATCGTTCTGTTTACGCTCTATTCGTCAAATAATCCTGCTTGGAATAATCTTCTAGATGTTCCCTCTCCATCCCGCACTTAGGTCCTAGAGTTTGACTGGATTGCATGTCTTGCGCTGACTCGTCAGTAATTCATCTCTACCCTTAGGTCTGATCCAAGCTCGCGCGTTACAATACTCTAAGTGGCCAAAATTATGCAACATTTATGATGTCAATATTGATTTATCGGTCATTTTACTTTCGATATTCCAACAATTTTTAACAGTTTGCTCACTGCATGAACAAATCACCAAATATCACAAGTCTTAATGTGTTTCGCTTTTTGTTTTTGATTAAAATTCTTTTGAAATTTGTGGGTTTTAATGCATAAAAATTAAGTTAATCTAATTTTAGAGCTTCTGAAGTTGATATGAGAATCCCGTTGCGCATTTAAATGTCAATAATTGTATACAAGTGGTAAGATGAAATGAACACTTATAAAGGAAATCGAAAATTACCCCAAAGGTACAAAATTATAAGCATGGGATGTGGTTGCCCCTGATTTACTAGAACATATAAAGAATTTTTTAGCCTATGAAAGAAAAGTTTGTATTTTATCTTGTCGGTAAACCGTTCCATTACAGAAAAATGCTACTTAAGTTTCTAAAAATTTAATAAAATTAAAACAATTACTGATGCCTTTGGTAAGATTATTGGTTACGAGGATTATTTTTACCAGCATTCGAATTAATTTGCATTACTTTGGATTAAAACGAAGAATCCACTATGGTATGTTAATGCATGCTGTATCTTGGATTTTCATTTTGACAAATTTCAAGAGTATGCAACTGCATATATTAGTAAGCGTTTGCTTCTATAAGCGTTTTTACTGAACTTTATATTTCTTAGCAGAGTCAGCCGTTTGACTTTTTGTGTAAATCAGCCATCCGAAAAAGAATTGGAGCAGCTAATTGTAAAATTTATGCATGGAAATATACGCAGATTGTTGATTAACGATTTAATGTAATTGTTGTTTATAAGTTTGTTTGAGTTATAATCATAGAATTGTCTGTGTTTTATCCTTTTATCGACGATCGGTACCTTGTCAAGGTTATCGTGTCCTCTTATAAACCATAAATCTTTAGCGCGTCGTGTTTTGCGTTGGGGTATCTTGTGGTGTGTTAAAAGCACGTTCTTTTCTAGCAATGTGCTCCGTATTTTTTGACGCCACACTGACGTTTTTTAGTATTCTTGACACTCTAATTTTTTAAACATGGTATCGTAAACTTCTGTCTCCAACATGTACTCAAAAAGCATTTGTGGATTTGTCTGAATCACAGAACCACTACGTATCGTAACTGAAAAATTATAACTACGACCGAAGCATATAAAACATTTTTTGTAGTTGTTGACGTCGTGCAGAGTATCCGATATGCCAGCAGACTTCAGGCAAATTATTAAATTGTTGTTTCTTTCGTCTCATGAGACGCGGCGTTGAGGTTACCTGTGGAATTCTGCTGTTTAATTTTATTTTATCGAATATATATATTGGTGAAAGTCGTGGAATGCATGTCATATCCACCTACTGTTTAAGTATTTAAATGTTTTCAGGCTGATATAGAAATGGTTGCTTAACAAAAGTCGATCAGTGTAATCGGTATTTAGCGTTGATATTTATTAATGAAACTTCTAATTCTACTCAATAGTTCAAATGTATAAGAAAATTTTGGCTGTCCATGCATCATAAGATTCTTGACGTTTAACATTAATTGGTTTTCCTTTCTCAAAGTAGATAGTGTATTTTCTTTGTTGAGCACGCGTTTCCCATGATTTCTACATGGTGATTTACCCTAAATGACCAATCACCTATGGCTTCTAGCGTCTTATAACAAGAATCAAGCATAGCGAATCGTTGAGGCAGCTAACACTGTTTTAAATTTCTAGCCATTTGAATTGGCTCTTGGCATTGATTTAAAGGAGATGCCCTGTTCTTTAGATGGAAGTACTGTCAAAGGAACTGAGTATTTTTTTCGAAAGTCACCGCCTCTCACAGGAATCCCTGGCATTGTCGTATGGAACACCTGGATACCGATGCAAGGCTACGTTTTTGCATGGCATCGCTGCGAGAATTGGTGCATATGCTTGTCTTAGGTCCGCTCAGCAGGTAGGTTCGCTTCATTTTTCTTACAAATGGCTTTTGAATGTAGAATGGATTGGCCGTTGGCGTAATGATAACGGCTTCACACAATGCTGCCGAAGATAATGGATTGAAGTTAATTAATACTGACGGCGGCATGCTATCACCAGATTTAGAACCCAGTGTCATCGAATTTGTTAGGATGTCAGCGGACAGGATTAAAAAGTGGTTAGAGGACTATTTTGGCGAAAAACCTTATGGTAAGATTTTAAAACGCATGGAAGGTTCTTCATGACATTAATTTTGGAATCGTGAAATCTTATCAGTCTTGGACTATTTCCGGGCTAACTCACAGTGAAACCAATTTGTAGACCCTAACATTGAGCCCATGGTATTTGTCGGGTGGGACACACGCAAATCATCTGTCGGTCTGGCGGAGGAGGTAGAACAAGGCATTGTCGCTGCTGGTGGAAAGTACGTCGACTTTGGACTCGTAACCACACCACAACTTCATTATTTAGTTCAGAATCAGGTATTTTACACTCTGCTCTCCTGTTTCCTAATGTTTACACAGATTGGGCGAACTTTTGCTTTAATATATTACTATATTGAAATGTGCTGTAGGTTAAATGCAATATCTACAGGTATGCTTGCATTTACGATGATTTTGCAACCTTCGAAGTGTTGATGTATCCCTCATTTAGGATGACGCATTGTTGATGTCCAAGACTAGCAGTCAATGTCAGAGGGGTCTAAGCAGAAGCAGCCTACTACATTTAACATCAAAATACATTTTGCACATTATTCCTATGAAATTGGGCATCTCTACCTGGTAGTTTTGTTCGTTTCGTCTGTTTTAGATGTGATGTTGCCAGCACACGCTTCGTAAATGCAATGTTCTTGATTAAAAGCCACGGCATCACCGTTTAAGCTAAGTATCAGGTTTATTTTTCGAAAAATGCCTCAATTCGTTTTCACCAATCTTGCCACAACGAAAATGCTAAAATGTCACCCCGTATAGAAATGTCAAGGCAAGGCCAAATACTGCAAAGAAATGTTTAAATTATTCAAGCAATCACATATCCCGGTGTATTTTTTGATTACTATACCCTGGCTTTATACAGCGTCGATTCAAGCAGGTCCAAGGAAAAATCTCTGCGCATATGTCAACTCTCTGACATAAGGAGTGTTGAATAGTTGTCTACTGTGTCATTAAAACCAAGATTGGACAAAAGTCAAGAAAGCGCAATTTTCTGTTTCAATTTGTTAAGTAGGGGTGGGGGGCGGGTGCACGCTATCACTCAGGATTCAAAATGACTCTCGATCTATTCACGCGGGTCAAGTGATTTTGTTTAGACTAATCTTTGCAAAAGATTGTCTTCTCTGAACTTAGGGTAATGTGCTTCATAAAATGATATTGACATTGCTTATCTAAGCGCATTCTTTATACGATTCAACTACTATTTTGCACTCTGGGGTATCCGACCGGTAAATCACACAAACGCGGAGCCAGAGTGTGGGAAAAATTGGATTTATTTTGGTGTAGTTGATTTGTAGTTACAACATTTCTAACAGATCATATTAATCAGTATTAGATCTAGCACTGTTTTGTATTTCGGTCGTAAAATACACACACTCCTCGGTTCTTTCGAAAGAGACAATGCGATTGGGATCAGCACTGACTTCCTGAATTACCAAAGTCGCTCGTAGTCGTTAGTATATGAACTCAGCTGCAAGTAGTTACAGCATACAAATTCAATGAGGGATTCCAGGTTGCACAGGGTCAATTTGTACGCTTGAATCTTGTAGAGCCGTCAGCGAATACCTGATCGCATTGAGGACTACGTGAGCGTCTTCACTAATCGTTTCGTAAAGGCCCTCTCGACGCTGCGCGGTGGGCCAATCAACCTGAACGTCGACTGTGCCCACGGGGTCGGTGCCCTCACACTGACTTCTCTTTCTACGAGACTCTACCTGGAGTATAATAAGCCATCTTATCCATCAGACAGTCCGCAACTCTGTATACGAACCTATAATACATTGACGAGCGATAAGGAACTGCTTAATAGGGAATGCGGAGCAGATTTTGTGAAGGTATTTACACTGAAATCACTCACCCCCTGGCTACTTGTTGTCATTACCAGCACTTGATGCAGCCGAACCAAGGCATTTGAGATGCTTCTCTGCGATCCGCCCATTCCGCATCGTGATTTCCCACTTGTTCATGAGGGCACTATGGTGCTTTACTCAAGCCCTCTTTGCATGTGTCCGTTGAACCCCTAGGAGATGCATGTTCCCCGTCTATTGATGCTTTTCATTCTTTTTCATGACTACATTTAGTGGGTGCTTATGCTCGTGTTTCTTAATTTCCCAACTTTTGAGCTACTAGTCTACCTCTTTACCGATCTTTGAAAACATACTCTTAACATTGTGATTCTCTGATTTACGTATTATGATGTACGTTTAACTAATCTAGACTCGTGGATATGCTCGTGCACATTTAAATATCAGGCCATTTTTGCATCAATTAAGTATCTACTTGAGCCTATACTGTATGTTCATTCCGCCACCGAAATTTGATTTCAGCTCTATAGCAAACAACCTAAATTAACGCCCACTCCTCCGGAACCATCGCCATTTGCCCCCTCGACAAGGTGGGCAACGATCGATGGGGACGGGGACCGTCTGCTGTACTTCTTCACCTCACCAGCCGCCTCCACCGCCGTGTGTTTGCTTGACGGCGATCGAATCGCGGCTCTCTTCGCAACCTTCATCGCAGACCAACTAAGGCAACTGGGGGGAGCTGGGCTTCACCTTGGGTTGGGTGTGGTCCAGACGGCCTACGCCAACTCTGCGTCGACGCGCTACTTCCACCGGGAGCTCGGTGGCACTTCCCAAGTCGTCTGTACTCTAACTGGGGTGAAGCACCTGCACAAGGCCGCCAAAGCATTCGACTTTGGCGTTTATTTTGAGGTGTGTCCTGTATATCTCAAACTTCCTTATGACTGCGTTTTGGGCGTAGCCTCATAGACCAGGCCTGTATTTCGGGGGGCTGATTTCCTGTTCACAATCCTCGATTGTCGAGACAGAAGCGCTTAGATTTGTGTCATGGACAAGTGTCACGTAGGTAACTTTAATGCTTTCTCTTGACCAGACCATTGTTTGGTCCACTGTAGAATTTGTTTCTTCACGAGAAATACCGTTTCTGTTGGAGCAATTTATTTGCGTATTTTTAGGTAGCCATTCTAATTACCATCCCCTTTCATTCAATTAGGCGAACGGCCATGGGACGGTGGAGCTTTCCCAGGCAGCAATAGATTTTGTTTCTACCCTCCCTGAAAAGCATCCACTGAAGCTCTTCGTGTCGCTCGTCAACACGGCCGTTGGCGACGCCATAACTGACATTCTACTGGTGGAGTATGTTCTTGCTGTGAGGGGAATCAGGTCGCTTGCCGACTGGTTCGCCGTCTACACTGACTTGCCCTCCAGGCAACTCAAAGTGGTCATCGCGGATCGAGCAGTCATAGAGACTACCGATGCGGACAGGAAGGTCTTGAAACCAGAGGGATTACAGGTATTCTCATGGACTCATCAGCGTGCTCCGGTTTTCGGGCTGTTCTATTCCTTGAGTGGAATTTTATTTTGACACGTTAATCTGTCACGACTCACACTCTAGCCAGATAGGGGACACTAACCTTTCACAGCGTTTATTTTAGAACTATTGCAGCTATGTGATCATTGAAATTACTTGGTACAATGTTGCCCGAAAAATTAGTCTAGATGGTAATTCTCGATGGCAAGTCGCTTTTTTGCTTACCACTAAAACTTTATTTACTTAAAGTACAATGTCCTCACGTAGTAAGCAGGTGCGTTTTCGGCGTACTAGTTATGGGCAGTGAGTATTCGGTGTTTGGGGATCTTGCTAGCAATGCCTACCGAATCACGAGTTTACTTTCTATGCTGCGAGCAAGGATAAGTTGGACCAATTAAAGGCTGAGTCCATAGTGCTGCCTTGTAAAAACTATGGAATAAGAGGCTTTCCAAAAAGGACAGAAAAGTACTCAGTCAATCGAATAGCCAGTTTCGAAAAAAAGCAGGATTGACTTGAGCCCATTGGGTAACAGCGGAGCACATTTCCACTAGTGCATTACAACTCGGACAATGGCCTCAGTTGGACAGAAAACTCAAATACCGCATTTTGAATGGCAAACCAGTCATCAAGTAAATTAAGTGCCTCATTTCCAATGGTGTTCCATCAAATTACTGGCCAATTTGAAAAAGTAATGAAGTAACTTGTCTTGTTGTTCACGCACCTGTCGACACAAAATAACTCGGAATTCCATTTTAGGGCGCTATCGATGCTCTTGTCCAAAAAGTTGATATGGCAGTCAACACTCCTGGAATTTCTCGTGCCTTCATTCGCCCCTCAGGCACTGAGGATGTGGTTCGCGTCTACGCTGAGTCATCCAAGCAGGATCTCGCCGACTGGCTGGCCGAGGCGGTTGCTTGTCTCGTGCACCGTCATGCCAACGGAGTTGGTCCGGAGCCAGCACCGATGGGTCCAGTCCCTACTTGATTTCGCTCCCGGCACCCACACCAAGTCTCTTCTAGCTGCTTTCTTTTGTAATTTATTACCTTTTTCTAACTCGAATTAATGATTAAAATGCCCTGAAATGCGTGCCTCAGAAAGTGAAAGGCTAATTCCGAAGGTGAATAAAAATAGTTGAATCTTAGTTATTACATTTTTTATGTGTGGGGAATAGGTGCAGTTTCTTGGTTTTGAACAGCCTCTAGTGTTCGTCTTGTGAATAGGTCTGTAAGTAGTGATTGACGGATGCAAACTACTGATCGAATACACGCAAATAGCGGCCACTACGTGAATGGCATGTTTATGGTTTCGGGAGGCATGTTTATCTCTCATGCACTACACGTTGACAGATTCCACTTTTTGAGCAATCGGCGCCATCTTCTAAATCACCTAAAGTAATCAGCGAGTCACTAATGTGTCGTTCACTGTCAAATTTGACTGGTACTAAATGTTTGCAGGAGGGAGCAGTCGCCGGCAACATTTCTCACTGCCCTTACTGTGATTCGACTAAAGTCAAATCGTTGAAACGCGTTTGCAAGTAACTGTAGCGATGTCTTCGCGGAATCTCAAAACACGTGGCGTATCGGTTTCATTTAAGCACAGCGAAACAATTTACTACTCTTAGGTTCTTTTCGCAAAGTGTTATAGCATAAAAGATCGCACGAGAATGAGATTTTTTAAACAGTCTAAGATATAAACCCCATGGAAACATTTCAGGCATTCATTTTCCTAGGTGATTTGTTTTTGACCCCACTTGGAAGAGGAGCTTCATCTGAAGAACGATTTGGCTTTAGGTATTGCTTTTGCGCAGTGGTTTGTACTTCCAATTGGTTAAGGTGGGTTCGATCACATTTCCATGTAAATTGTTTGGTTCAAAGTAAAGTGAAGGAGAACCTGCCTCATCCGGTCCCAAGAAAGCCAATTCAACTGTTCCTGGTGGCTGACTGATTTTGACTCGCGTTTCACCAAAGCCAAATTTTTCTTTCATTAGTTTACTTTTTAAAGCGAATGTTTTCGGTGAGAAAGTGCGTAGCAGCCTGGTTCGCACGAGGCAGCCTGTGTAAACAGAAATTGTAACAACATCAGGATGCGTCGTCAATCCGCCAAGCATCCAGAATGCTTGAAAAGGTGTAACTTCGGTCATAACTTGTCGAAACACACTAACACCTTCTGCCGCTTTGGATCTCCACTCAACAGAACCAGACGTGTTTTTGGGATGTCACTATCTCACCTGCTTTTCAAAATACCTGGAAATGTATAGCAGGGGCTTTCATTTTCTGCCTTTTTCCGAATAGCTTGGAGTAATCTGCCTATAAAGAAGGTTTTTGACTAACCCCAACCAGAAACATTCTATAAGGGAGTGTGTTGACAATATCAACATCGGTATGTCGAATTTCTCGCCGGCATGCACACTTTTGTGAGTTTGCTAACGATCCAGCTGTTTTACGGGATTTTTAGACAACTAGTGCCGGAGGTTGACTCAAAACTAGTTTCCTCATTCTATTGAGCTTTTTTTTACGCCAACGATCAACACCATCCTGTCATGTTTGGCAACTGGAACAGGCGTACACCGAAACACGTTAAGAACACAGTCTTAGCGTGCGTTTCTACCTATTGTGCTTGGGATTCCCCAACTTCAAAGCAAAGTGCGTCAACTATACTTGCATGTTTTTACATCCTTGTTTAGTTAGCCCAAACAGTACTTGTGATGGTTTATTTTTACAGTCCAAAATTGGTTCTAACATGCCAAAAATACTTCGGAAAACTTCCATTGCTAATATGGTGGTGCAATGAGAAAGTAAATAGTTTTCAAACGTGGTTCCATGTGATTAGAGACTCAGAGAAGCACCTCAGTTTAGTAAATTGCTTTCAACGAATAACTGGGGTAAATATTCTAGAGCGTGAAAGACTACTTATTTAATCATCAGTAGAATAAAGAGAGGAAGTCATGGAGGCGGACACTCGACAACTTGGTCCCTGAGAACAAATATAAATACCTCATATTAATTGACACTTCTCAAATGGCCAGGTCTTCTTGATACCTTTGTTGGAGACTTTTAGTCGATTATTTTTAAAACTCAAGGTATGTATCCGACCGGATACGCAGTGATGTGATTTGTGGACTGTCAACCTCATGCCAACACACCGCACCATTGCCCCCTTTGATTTATTGTTAGTTGGAAAATGTTGGATACGCAAGGCCTCAAAAGCCGAATAGTTTGATCATCTTAGCACCGCAATTTATTGTTAAAAAGAAAGTTCAATTTACGCTAGTACTTCAAGTTTGTAGTCGTGCGTAAATTTCAATCCACAATGTAAACTACAAGAATAACAAATTTCAAAAACAGATCGCTGTTCTGCATCACACAACTTTTGCGTTTGCTAATGAGAAGCTCACAACTGTCACCTAATACAGCCTGATAGCCCGTCATCGATAGAACACGTGGCAAAATAATATCATATAGTAAATCGAAAAACAAGTGTACATACATTGCACTCTCCAGTACCGTGAAACTGAAATAACAGAAGTTATGGGATAAGGTGAAATCAAAAGACTGGTAGACATTGCCGAGAGACTGGTTCCTATTGGTTCCTATCAATTGCTGCTTGCTTAGCCGTCCAAATTGCCAGATTCTTCTTGCACTTCTCCACTAGCGCCCGCGAGAACTTAGTGCGCATGTAGTTGTCCCATTTCTCAAAAAGCGGCAAAACCAGGAATTTAATGAAACCTTGGGAGATGAAGGAAACGATTGTTGAGTCCGAAATCGTCGAGAAAAAATGTCGATGAAACAAAATAGTTGAGTCTGGGATCCAAATTGCCAAAATACAGAACTCTGTATTCTCGCGATTAAACAAGAATAAGCGCTACGTTTAAAATAAAAAAAAACATTCTCATTTAGTTTCGAACAAGTAGAATTCATGGGATTAGCGGGTCCTTCCTCTGCCTAGCAGATTGCAACAATATGACATTAATTTACTGGTCTATGGCAATGACAATTATCCGAATGTAGACACAACAGCAATAACAAAAAATTCAAGTTTCGAGCGTAGCATTTCTTGTTGATCGAATAAAAGCAGTAAATTGGAAATCAAAGACGGCGATTTGAATTTCAAGTGGTATAAAGTGGTTACAAGAAAATCCTTGTACTTGCTTTTTTGGTTGGAGCTTCATTAATCGTTTGCAGAAAAGAAGTAATATATTGTTGATAGGTGTTCCAATAACGAACCGAAAACACGTGAAATTACGTTGATTGTGAGGAATGCAGTAGGTTTATCAGGTATATTAAATCAGATTTTATTTGAAAACTAATGACCTCGAGAAGATCAAAATTTGTTCACCCCTAGTTCAGCAAAAGTTGGCTCGCGGTGTCTGAGGTTTAGGTCTTGAATACAACCACAAACCAAAAAAAACAGGGATATCAGACTTAAAACGCAACTATGGAAATAATTGCTTAATGCAACTTAATATTTTGGGCTAAAGGGCTTTCTTTTAAGCTTTCCAAGAATACTTCATCCAAAATAACCCATTTTTGTAAATGTAGTGAGTGGTTTATTACAACGAATGCAGCAAATAAACTGAATTGGCGACACCGCAATAAATCAAGACAGTTTCATTGTCAATGGATTTTCGTTGAGCAACCATCAAGAGCCCCTACCGGCACATAAAATCATGCTTGCGCCATCTCCGGCCTGTTTAAACTGCAGTCAACGTACGCGGTGACTGGGAGTAACTGGACCGTTCCAAACATGCAAGGGGAACAAGTGCCAATGAAAAGGAAAAAAGCACATCATCGTAGGACTCACCTATTTGGACTTTAGCCTTAGTGGTAGTTTTTCGGTTCATCGTGGGTAGTACTGGAAGTCCAAGTAGATTCTCTCGATCACCTTGAAGGAAGAATTCCTCCGTTATGCAGTTTGCCCACAGGAGGCTGACGGCCCACTGCCGACAGGGATTCGAGATATCAGCACACTTGATGGCGACCTTTGCTTAGCAAACAATCGGGGAATGAGAAACGGTTAGACCAGGCCCCCCATCCTTGTGTGCGGACATGCAGAGCAAACGTTTCACCAAATCTGATCCACCCACCTTAGTTGTCTGCTGTATACGGGGCTACCCATGTAACAACACGAATAACCCAGATGGCAAGTCTATTGTTCAAACGTGTGCAAACAGTGACATCTGAATAGTTGACGTTAGATCAAACAAGTATGGTATCTACACTGATGCTGTTCAGATATTATTTTAGATTGTATTACTTGCTAAGGAATAATCTGAAATGGCCCATCCCCACGCGGAGAATATTTCCCAAAGCATTTCGTTACAAGTATACAGCTGTTTTCGCCTGAAGTGGCCGGCACCGGTACCTTTGATTTTAAAAGAAGATGAGGATTGATGGTATGAAAATCGATTTAACTAGACCTCAGATTAGCCTAGAAACCGCATCATAAACGTCCGCCACTTGATGTGAAAAATCCGATTAATAGCGTGTTGAATTTTGCTACGAAAACATGGACGGCGTGGAATGAAAGCCATGACAGTTATGAAACTTTACCTAACAATTTCGCATGAAATAGGAGCAGAGTTGCAGAATGACGTGATGGGCCATCTTATCGCATTACATCACGATTTTCCTAGGGAAAAATAACTCATCTAAATTGTTGGATTTTAGGACCAATAATCTGAGGCGTAAGGTGGAAATTTATAAAGTAGACGGTCCAAGGTACATGAATGGGGCTTTGATGGTCACATAACTGCAATTTATGCGATCTAAAATTTAAGGGCAATTTTAAATTCTAATTTCTAGAAAAACTCGATATATCGGCCTACTACAGGGGTAGTAATTTGAAAAAAATAAATTTGCATTTTTGATTAGTGATTAAAAAAATTGGGTAAACAAACAAAACACAGAGATGAACCAGGGCAAAATCCTCTGTTGAAACAAAGGTCAGTTTCGCCATGTGCAGAGGATATTCGGAGCATCTTTTCGTATTTATTGGCAGTTAAAGCGGACACAAATTACCACGATTACCTGCGTCACAAGTTTCCTGTCGTCGTCTGTAAGCACGTAATCTTCCTGACCATAACGTCTTTCTGTCAAGTCCTTTGATGGAACTATATTCAGCACAAAATTACAATCTACTTGGATGTTTTGAAGAAATTCATCCTGTCTGGTTATGTCAGTGGCCAGTATTAAACCTTTTACATTGGCTTTCAAAGCATCCCTACAATTAGAGAAATATTACTTATAGCATTTAAACTTAAGTAGCATCAGAAGTATTCACAAAATAGCTGACCAGCGGCGGGTGGAAAAATCAGAAAATGCTTTTGATTGAAGAAGAACCGAGGTGGTTACATTTGAGTGATGATTTTCTAGTAAAGAAGACTAGAACATATTTATTTCTGACAAAGAATCCAACCAACCGTGTAGAATATTGACAGCATTTGCTTGGATTTGACTAAAAATGACTGATTAACGCCAGGATGGTCTATGTCGTGGCAAATGGCGGCCAGAATTGCACACATATATTCGAAAGCAGATATGCACTTATTAACTCGTTGTTCTTTCAAAAGGCAGTAGATAGCCTGAGCAACATCCGCGGCATGAAGAGCATTGTGATAAGAGTTGTTTTCATGATACAAATCCTCGATATGTTCTAAGAAAGCTGGACCCAAAAAGAAAGTTCTTACTAAAAAGACGAATTACGTGAAAATAATCCAGATGAAATTTTTGAAAGAATTTAGCTTTCTGAAACAAAAATGTGCCAATGGCAAGGAGGGGAAAACCTATATAGTGACAACTGAAGCACAAAGCAAACCAGCCGTTAGTCTTTCCAGGGAGAAAAGGTTGAAACTCCAATGTAAAGCTGGCTTCAACAAGCTCTATCGGGAGTTTCACGGATTAAAATTTAAACTAAAGCAAACCGGTCGATCTACAAAGTAGCTTTCATCGAGAAGACAGCGAAAATCATGTAGTTTCCGCTTTTTCTTCCACTCGTCTCTCTTGGACTTGGACCTGAAAGAAACAACAAAATCGTACACCAAATAGCCAATCAAAGTACACACAGACTGTAGCCAGAATTAAAAGTTCCACTGATTTCCAGAAAATTGAGCATCGAAAGCCCACAGGATGTCAAAATGAAAACCAATATATCAACAGTATTTGGGGACGATAAATTTTTATCTGAGTTGACTGTAACTGGAAATCCATTAACTCAGAACACCTTTTAAAATAGTTAGACGACAGTCGTAATTATATGCCTAAACATCTCTATCAAGGTTACGAATTTCAGAGATATATGCAGATAATTGTAAAGGTACAAAGCGATCTTTGCCAAATTAAGCAGATAACTAAATAATGATCTTTCATGTAACACTATAGTCTACAAACCAGCTGATAGATCATTGACGAAGAACCAAAGATTTCTACATTGTGGCGCAGATTTTTTTTAAAAAAAACTTATGCATACGACCACCACAGATAACATAATCTGAACATTACCGAAAAAACAATAATCTTTGTAAGCACAAATAGTTTTTTGAGTGTCATTGAACGAGCAGAGTTAGCGTCTGCATAAGAGCGGTTAGCGGTGCGATAGGCAATTACCGCAGACACAAAGTGGACAGTTACAAACAACGCCATATTGTGATCACCAAGGGACGATTTGTGAAAAGGATAAAAAAGCCCATTAGAAGCCAAAGACTTCTCTGAACCCAAACAAAGCAAAGCTTACAGAGTCATAAGATGCCTCAAACTTGTTTATTTTCGATAACCGAGATGAGGTTAAAACATATTTAGCAAAGTAGCTCTTCGAAAATGTGAAAACCGCCCTAGTTTATCTTCAAAAAACCCAAAGTTGCAGATATCTGGTCTAAGAGATGAGCAAGACTATATTAGACTAAAAGTGAAAAAATAAAACAAGATCACTATGTTATCCATACTTCAAATAATA